CAATAAAAATCTCACTATTAATGATGCCCTATGCTTATATATATTATATATATACTCGTATATATATACATAGGGAGTGGAGTGAGCCCCCTCTCAGCATGTGTCCTGGGCAAGGGACTAACCTACCCTTACCTAAGGTCGGGTCGGTAACCGCAGACACACCTTCACTTCATCAGTGCAATTTGAGTTCTATTATTTTGGATTAAAAACAAAATGTTTTGTATAATGAATGTATGAATTTGGAGTAAAAGAATCTTGAATATGTGTAAATGCTAATTGTTGATTTTTTTTTAAATAAGCTTTTATTGTTTTTTTTTTCCTTTCTTTTTTAATTTGCTCTTCCATATCATTTTCTCTTTCCTAAGGAATAAGGTTCAAATTGGCCATTGAATGTAACCTGAAAATGCAATTAGGCCACTGAACGAAAAAAAAGTGCAATTAGGCCACTGAACACTCTAAAAATGTGCAATTTCACCTGATAGCAGGTTACCCTCAATTTTAGCAGGTTATCTGCTTACGTGGCAGCTGAGTTGGCATTTTTAATAAATTTTAAATTATTTTTAATAAATTTTAATAATAAATTTTTATTTTAAAAAATTTTTTAAAAAATAAAAACGACTTTATTTTATTTTTTATTTAATTTTTTCAATTTTTTATAAAATTTATTATTAAAATTAATTATTAAAAATTATTTAAAAATTATTAAAAATGCCAACTCAGCTGCCACGTAAGCAGGTAACCTGCTAACATTGATGGTAACCTGCTATCCGGTGAAATTGCATACGTTTGGAGAGTTCAGTGGCCTAATTGCACGTTTTTGGAGTGTTCAGTAGCCTAATTGCACTTTTTGTTCGTTCAGTGGCCTAATTGCATTTTCAGGTTACGTTCAGTGGCCAATTTGAACCTTATTCCCTTTCCTAATTACACTTACAAAAATTATTCAAAAACCACAATAAAAATCTCACTATTAATGATGCCCTATGCTTATATATATTATATATATACTCGTATATACATAGGGAATGGAGTGAGCCCCCTCTCAGCATGTGCCCTGGGCAAGGGACTAACCTGCCCTTACCTAAGGTCGGGTCGGTAACCGCAGACACACCTTCACTTCATCAGTGCAATTTGAGTTCTATTATTTTGGATTAAAAACAAAATGTTTTGTATAATGAATGTATGAATTTGGAGTAAAAGAATCTTGAATATGTGTAAATGCTAATTGACACTTGTCGGCTAACAAGAAAAGGTCAAGATAAACATGATGATTATATTAGTGATAAGTGGAGATGATTAAACCAATTAAAGATTAAGCAAGGAAGTAATTGGAGGGAGTGGGGATTAGGAAATAAGTAATAAGAACCATATATATATATTCTTGTTTCAATGTTCCTTTGCCTGCTGCTAGGTCATCAGTGTCATGAATGTCAAAAGATGCATGAACCACCCAATAAATGCCACAATAAGTGTGGGTCTTGTCATTTCAAGGTCTAATTAATTTGTAGGTCATCAATCATTGGGTGTTCTTCTTGGTTTCAAGATATATAAGTATATAGCATCCATATTCTGCCACGTGGCGCATAAAAAAATCTCATGCTTGGGGGGTTGGTTCCATTCCTTCCTGCGTCATCATGACATGTGTGTTGTTGGGACAATGTTGCCTACATCTTATTCTATGTTTTAGCTTCACTCTTTTCTCTTATATGTCACTTTTTTTTTTTTTTTTTTTTTTTTAACTACGAAGTGGCTTGGGTCTTTCTCTATCCGACTAATTCCCATTCGTTCCGGGAGACACGGGAGCTATCCCAAAGGAATCGTCACTTGTGAGAATCGGATTTGAATTATCTCAAAATTTTTTCCATAAAAAGAATTCATTTGCCACTTGAACTACCCGGTTGGATTTTATGTCACTTTGCTGTTGTGGATTCTTCAACATCCATATGAGTCTCTTATATTGATGGGTTTAAATATGCAAAGACTTTGTGCTTATTGCTCAATCATCTTGCTAGCTCCATAAAAAAGACTATGTGGTAAAATAGTTAGTCTGTTATCAGCTAATTTTGACTTATTTGATCACTATTAATTGTTTAATTTGGTTAAAAAATAATATAAGTGTTTGATTAATTAGCATTTTTAACTACAATCATCTAATGTTATCAACTAATTATACTCTCAAATTAACTCAATCAGTTAACTGCTAACAGCCATTTACCAAACATGGCCAATATATTTTTGGTATTAGTACTTGTTTGAGATATTTCAATCACATCATCTCTTTTCATAATTTAATATTCTTTTAATTATCAACGTGTAATTTAGAATGAGTTTTACTATGCGTACTCCCAAATTCTACTTCACAATGTGACAAATTAGGATGGGTCATTTTCATCATATGGGTCCACAGAAAAATGTCAGAACATGTGAGAGGGACTAAAAGTAGAGAGTATACCAAGTATTTTCCATTTAGAATATCTACAAATCTATAATTAAGAGCTAATAAAGTTACTCCCACGAGAACTAAAAAATGGATGGTTGTGTAATTATTGGTTGAAATGAATGATTCATATTATTTTGATTTTACAATATACAATTTTAAATGAATTTTGGTCAATTAATTAAAATTATGCATTGGGTATTGATGAAAAGGTACACCTAATTTACTGTCTATACTTAATACAAATAAGAAACTATGCATATTATTATTGTCTTTTTGGGAAGGAGAATTTGGTTATGTTTTTGGTGCATTGTGCCAAGGCACCATGTGATTAGATCAAATTAATAATTCATTTATAGCAAAAGTGATAACATGAGGAAACATGAATCACGTCAATCAATGATTTAGATTTGTCCACAAATTCTGATATGTGAGTGGTTCTCATATGATTACGAGCAAAAAGCTCCGACTAGAGCAATTACATTGACTGTTATATTGTGTGTATATATATATATATATATATATATATATATATATATATATATATATACATATAGAGAGAGAGAGAGAGAGAGAGAGAATTGTGATATGAGTAATTGGGACAATAAATAAAAGAATATGATGATTTTGTTTAGTGGTCTCTCATGTATGTAGACGTTCTGGTATCCTACTTGTGTGTTGCCATACTTGTGCAGTGATCTGTGCCTACGCATACTCTAACAACTACCGAGTAACATTTTTCTTTTTAATATTAAAAACCAAAGATGAATAATATTAAACGTAGACTACAGTGTACAGATGAATAATCTTGTGTTCCAGCGTCTTCCAGAGATGAACATCTATCGACACTCTGCTCAATTACTTTGGATTATTTGACCACTGCCTGTCCATCGATCTGTCATGGAATAACAAACATATATACCTGTAGAAGGCATAAAATATTTTCTTTGTTACGTGATCTCAACTTTGTCCGACAAATTCTAAATTCACAAGATCTTATCTCTAAAATTTTTGCAGAGATAAATCACGAGTCGCTCAATCAGCTCCACGAGAGATTTGATCTAAACCTTCCAGTATCATTGAACCATTTTTTCTCATACATATTTCCCGTGGCATATCTTAACTTTGATGTGTGTAATTGAACAAAAACACACACTAGGATAAGTAAATTGTTCTAAGTTAATCCAATGAGTTTCAAGTATGAAAATTATATTTCTCATTGTTTAGATATATACCTTCTCCCGTGCAAAATACAACGGTGTATATTGTGAAACATTCTGTATGTATGTAGAAAGATGGACTTTCACGACATATTATTTTTAATATACTGTAGGTTCAGTTTTAGTGTTACAAATTTATTTTAATTTGTATTACATTAAAAATAAACTTGTATCACAATGAACTTTTTAAACTTGTAATTCACCAAAAGTAAACTTATAATATACTCCGTAATAATGAACATGAACCAATATGAAAATTCTAGGATGCACAATATAGTTTAAGAGAGCAGTCGGATACCGGTAGACTACAAGCCACTTGATACAATATAATTTAATTGGATCAAAGGTTAAAACGCTTAAAGCAGGCTAACATAGTTTAGGGTTTGGATCTCTTTTTGGCTCACATAAGAAATCCAATCCAAGGCCCAAATATGTGAATTGTACAAGCCTGAGAGCCCAACATTGTTTTATAAGGCAAATTATTGTATGGGCCTTGGTCCATACAGTACTATCAATCGTTATGCTTCCGTATGCACCATGGTGCATACGGATGTCAAAACGACGTCGTTTTATTAAAAAATACGCGTCTCCCCTTTAAAAAAAATTCAGGTTCGATTCCCAACAACAACATTATATTGTTTATTCATTCTGGAATTTTAGTTCATAGATTATGAAATTATAGTTCATTGATTATGGAACTATAATTCATCGATTATAGAATTGTAGTTCATCGATTCTGAAATTTTAGTTTATAGATTATGGAATTTTAGTTCATTCATTCTGGAATTTTTAGTTCATAGATTAGATTATAGAATTATAGTTCATCGATTATGAAATTATAGTTCATCGATTATGGAATTATAGTTCATCGATTATGAAATTTTAGTTTATATGTTGTTGCTGGGAATCGAACCTGATTTTTTTTTTTTAAGGGGAGACGCGCGTTTTATTAAAACGACGTTGTTTTTGCATCCGTATGCACCATGCATGGTGCATAATGGTGCATACGGATGCACAGCATAATTTGCCCAGTATTATGTAGACCATATTAATAAAATATTTTTAATATATTAAAAGTACATTATTTACCTACTGAATAAATATTATTTGATAATTTAGCCTACAAAGTTGTGTGAACCATGATCCACACAATAACGATGGATTGGGTTTATAATTAATTTTTTTTTTTTTAATTTTATTTTCAACAATGACAATTTCCTAAGGGCATCTCATTGGGATTTTTTGTTAAGTTTTTTAATGATTTTTTTAAAAGGAAAATACTATTTTCTCCTTTAAAATTTGTCTTAATATTTTTTTTTATGATGTAACTCATAATTATTTTCTCCGGCAACGAGGCGCGAAGTTGGCCGCGCCACCGAGCTCTGCTTTCCGAACACCACTCCCTCTTCTCTCTCGCAGTCTCCCCTTCCAAATTTAAACCGAAATCTGTTGGTAATCTCACCCTTGACTCCTTAAATAAAGTTATCGTCATTCGTCCCCAGTCTTAAGCTTCAGAATCACATTCTTCCATGGCGCACTCGTCTCAGGTCTGAACAATTCTTTTACGGAGTAGTTATTAAATTTCTTGGTTTTTGTTTGTGTACCTAAGTTTCTGAATTCGGGGTTGTTCCTTTAAAAAGGTTGCCTTTTTGACGCCTTTGAATGATAATCTGGAGGAGGAGGAAGGAGGCTCAATTCCCAAGATACCCATCAATGAAGGCTCTAATTGTGTTGGCCGTAGTTGTGTTCCGGTCAATGATAAGCGGCTCAGCCGGAAGCATCTCACTGTCAATGCCACTTCAGGAGGCTCTGCAGAGGTCCTTGTGGTAAAGCCTTTACTTATATTTTTGGTATTGTGTGTATATATGAATCCTGAAGTTTATAATGTATATGCTGCTTACACTGTGTTTGATATTGGGACTCTGAATTCTTTTGCTATTGTGCATTGTAGTGTATTTTTGTTTCATGCCTTTTTGTTTTGTTTGAAATAAATGCAATGTGCTAACTGTAGGAAAGTACAAACCCAGTTGTTATAAGATCAAAGGGTGAAAGGAAGAAGCTTTTGTCTGGGGAAAGGTGGAAGATTGAAAATGGTGATGTGGTAGAGTTGATACCTGGACATTACTATTTTAGGTACAATGCTCTTAGGAACGAAAACTCACCAAACAGCAGGAACAAGAGGCCATTGATTGAAGAAAGTAATACTAGCAATGGGCAGGCACACGGCAGGAAAAAAACTAGAGAAGTTTTGGGAGAGGCATCCTTGGTATGTTCAAAGGTATCGGCTTTTGGGTTTCGTACCCTCAGGGCCTCAGACCCAACTTTTAATTCATAAAACCAAAGCAATAGCTAAGTTTTGCTTTTGAGAAGATTACGTACAGTATATTTTTCTTAATAGTTGTTCTTGATTGGTTTTGGTTTATATAGAATGATGGCCAGGAAACAGAGAGCTCTGAAGAGGCGATACGCCATTTTGTTGTCCCTAAGGATAAGTTACCCCAGACTTTCCGGTTGCTCAGAGTTCGTGAGCTGCCAGCATGGGCAAACACAAATGCTGTTTCCATCCACGATATAATTCAGGTAAGATGTTCTACCTGCCCTCTATTTTCTAAAACCTTTCAATTTTCCCTGTTGGTTTCTCTCTAATTTTTTTTTTTTTTTCCAAGGAACAAATATGATGTTCAAGTGCCTATATTTGAAACCTATTTCCTCTTGGCAGCATACATGCTGCCCAGTCATACATGTACAGTACTTCTTTTGGGTGCTTGTTGATTGCATTCGTGACCGTCTTAGCTCAAAAACCAGTTATTGATTGTACACATCATACTAGTGCTCCATCATATTTATGTATTCATGAAATTAGTATAGTTAGAGTTACAACATATTTTATGACCTATATATATTGTAAATGAATTTGAACTCCAATGACCTGAACTTAGAAGTTGTATTATGTCCTGTTAGAGTATGCAACCTGACACAAACCTAAACTTCCGTTTTCACAGGGGGATGTGCTTGTGGCTATTCTTTCCAATTACATGGTAGACATTGATTGGCTACTTTCTGGTAGGTTTTTCTATTGTGGGTGGGGTCTTTATCTGTTTCGCTTTTGCCATTTCACTCTTGTAAAATCTGCTTATCTCTATTTACCTTACCATGCTACTGTTCATCAATCTATGCTGCTGCTTCTATAAATTTTCTTATTTTTCTTCATCTTTTTGTAACATCAAAGTGTATTCCATTCCTTGTAACAACCATATTGTATATTTTTACTGTTTTAGATGCATGTTCCTGATGAATAATTAGATTTGCCACATAGAGCTTGCCTCCCCTTACCTCTTTTTCCCTCTCCAACTTCTTTCTAAAAATGTAAAGTAAGATATGCATTTGTGTTCATGTATCAGTCATGTACTGTTTGAGTCTGTCACCAACCAATATAATTTATTACCATTGAGATTGGCGATCTTGTTGCAGCATGTCCCGCACTGAAAAAGATTCCCCAGGTTCTTGTTGTACACGGAGGTGATGGTACTATGGAGTATATGAAGGTTGGTAGAAATCCCATGCCATGGAAATTTGCTTCTGTTGAATATTCCTATAAGTTTATTTCAATTTTGTTTATTTAACATGTTTATTTCAGAGAAACAATCTTGTGAATTGGATTCTACACAAACCTGCTTTGCCCATATCATATGGGACTCACCATTCAAAAGCCATGTTTCTTGTATACCCTAAAGGAGTCAGAATTGTTGTACATACCGCCAATTTGATACATGTTGACTGGAATAACAAAAGCCAAGGTTTGTGGGTGCAAGACTTCCCTTGGAAGGATCAAAAGTGCCCAAGTATGGAATGCGGATTTGAAAGAGACTTGATTGACTATCTTAGTATGTTGAAGGTAACAATGAGTGAAAAATCTAAAATGAGGTCAAAGTTCCATTGCTTCAAGTGTCTATCTAGAACTGTTATATTCAAAGTGGAATTTCACATTGTTTGTTGAATTGTTGGTAATTGTACTTTTAAATTGAACAAGTTTTCATTGAACTACTTCCTTTCACTTTGACCTTGTTTAATTTAATTTCAATGCTTGCAGTGGCCTGAGTTCACTGCAAATATACCAGCACTTGGCAACTGCAACATCAATTCATCATTTTTCAAGAAATTCGATTATAGCAGTGCAGGGGTAATCACTTTTTGGATATTGCTCTAATTCATTTTAACTTCAATTCTTCTCTTTTCTTAAATGTGCTCAAACTTCATGCTCATATTTAGAGAGCATCTAAGAAATGATTAATTTTTTTTTTTCCTTATCTTTGTTCTTGTACCCTTGCAACTCTAATAATGCTATACCCTAACTCCCACTTCACCAATGAAATGAAGTAACAAATGCGGCATTTAACTAATTATCTTCTTAAACTAGTATCTAAGCAATGTTTTGAGTCTCAAACGCCTTCTCTGCTTCTAAATCTGGATACACTTTTGATCCTTTGATGTCGTGTACATAATACTTATCCTTTTAACTCTTCCTTTTTACCTCACACCCCTTAGCATGTATCTTGCATACTCCTTCGGTTGGTGCACCTAGGGTTGACCATTTCCCGACATGGATGTATTTCCACTCCGTTCTAAATATTTAAGCTAAAACCTTGAACTGATGTATAACTCAAATTTTTTGTGGGTCATGCTTTGAATCCTTGGAGATGTCATATCTTGCCATGTGTCAACGAATAAGGAGAAGAATGTGCTTAAAATATGCACTCATGACATCACATTATTGTTAGTGAAGGGAAAACATGAAACTCGGTCCACTTTCTGAAAATTGTGCTAATGATTATCTATTCTTGAATTTAGTGATTTCATTTTCCAGGTCAGGCTAATTGCCTCGGTCCCTGGTTATCATTCAGGTCCAAGTTTGAAAAAGTGGGGACATATGAAGTTACGAACTGTTCTTCAGGAGTGTACTTTCAGTAAAGAATTTCAGAAGTCACCTCTTGTTTATCAGGTATTTCGGTTCTTTTAGGCTGACAGAACTTCAGAAGTCTTGACGCTTAGGATCTCGCTCCTTGACACCACTTCTAAATTTTGGTTCTCTGTTATTCCCTTGCTTCAGTTCTCATCCCTCGGTTCGTTAGATGAGAAGTGGATGACAGAATTTGCATCTTCATTGTCGGCTGGAAAGTCAGATGATAATAAGCCCCTTGGCATTGGGGAGCAAATGATAGTATGGCCTACCGTAGAAGATGTCAGGTGTTCTTTGGAGGTAATAGTTTTCATATAATGTATGTAAGCCATCTCGGACACTAATTGCTAGACAATGGTGTTGATACCTGAAAATATATTTGGTTTCACACGGTTTTGACTATTTCAAACGTGCTAATTTCTTTATACATCCTTTACTGCTATGGACTTACTCGTGTTGCAGCATTGACTAAGAAACGACTTTTGTGGCTATTCTCTTACTTCATCTTTCAGGGATATGCTGCTGGAAGTTGCATTCCGAGCCCCTTAAAGAATGTGGAGAAAGAATTTCTGAAAAAGTACTGGGCAAAGTGGAAAGCAAGCCACACTGGACGCGGGTATATTGTCCTTTTTGTAATGAATTTCGAACTAATAATATATAATTCCAAATATCAAATGGTTTAAGTGCTTCGATGTTTTTAGGAAAGAAACTTACCTGTGTGCTTTTTAAACATTTCAGTCGTGCAATGCCTCATATAAAGACGTTTGTACGTTACAGTGGTCAAAACCTAGCGTAAGATCCCATTCAGATCTCCTTATTGGACTCTAATGCATCGTGCACCTGGGAATTTATCGTTTATTTTTTGCTCCATAACTTTTGACAGGTGGATGTTGCTTACTTCTGCAAACCTCAGCAAAGCTGCTTGGGGAGCTCTTCAAAAAAATAATTCCCAGTTGATGATTCGTTCATACGAGGTATATCTACTTTACTCGGAAGAAAAGTTCCGCACAAAACACAGGAAAAAAGTAATCATTACATGTTTGAAGCTGTGGAAACACGTCTTCTTTATGAAACCTTTGGCAATTACTGCTCTTGTTATAAAACTAATATTGCTTATGAATCTTTGGCAATTTCTCCAGCTTGGGGTGTTGTTTTTGCCGTCTGTCAAATGTGGGAGTGGATTTTCTTGTACCGATAACAGTAATTACTCCGAGGTATAGTTCTTTCATTGGATTTACTTGTATAACCCTCGTTTTTTGTTAACAATTCTTAAACGTTATGCCCTCCAGGTTAAATCCGCACCACATGAAGAGAAGAAGGCAAAGCTTGTGACTTTGGCATGGAGAGGAAAGAGCGATACAGAGTCAGCTGAAGTGATTAAATTGCCATTACCCTATGAGCTTCCTCCAAGACCCTACTCCCCCGAAGGTGAAACCCTCCAGTTTTCCATTTTTCCCGTTAGTAAACACTAATTCTTTTTTACCGACTTCTAACCCTTAATCGAATGCAGATGTCCCCTGGTCATGGGATCGCCGTTATACCAAGAAAGATGTTTATGGCAAAGTTTGGCCTAGATAAGTACAGCTCTACATTAGTCAAGGTTGATTAATGATGTTCTTTGTGATCATTTAGGTGAAATGAACACGTTTGATCCTCATTGATCTTTGTATATACCTGAAATGATTCAGACATTTTTATTTTCAACTTCCCAGATTTGATATGCAGTTAATTCATGACTTCATGTTAGAGATTCTAAGCTTTACCAGCTTAGCAGCCATTATTGGCCATTACATCATGGATTCCAATTCAACTACAATGTAATTCAGTGGAGCTAGAAACTACTGTGTTTGGTTTGAGGAAATTGCAATTCATGTATCCCTTAGGAACTGGAATTCAATGCACCTGGGAAAGGAAAAAACAAGTAAAATGACTAAATTGTCCTTGATTATTACTCCGTAATCCGTATTATTGAGTATTATACAAAGACATTTTAGTTTTTTTATATTACTTCTTCCCTTTTCATTCACAATAATTCTATTTATACGTAATTTGAATTTCTACATTATTCTTTTCTCACTGAATTATAGTCCCTATATTAGCCCTATAAGATAATGAACCATTGTTATACCTTGGACCAATGTTCATATTGCATTATGAATTATGGTTCAAAAATTATGTATTTGCTTAATTTATACATAAATTAATTATTAATCGAATGTGAGGAGGGTGTATTGCAGATACAGAATGTGAAGGTTACTTTTGAACTAATATTTCTATTGTGTTGTCTCAATGGTAGACCGTTAGCCATTATTTGCCTAACTCTAACAGCCTTGAGAGATGTCCGGAACAACTAGGGAGAAAAGCAACAATCCGGACCCGATGCCGCCTGGAGGAGGAGGGGGAGCAACGATATCGCTGGAAACCCAGCTTCACCACCGCTGTTTCTCCTTTTCAAGCTCCAGTCGACGGAGTCCACAATGCAAAGTAGATCCCGGTTGAGGCTATGAGGTTGGATTATGAGAGTTGACTAATTCAACATCTTGCATGATCTATACACTCCCGCTTAAACCAACACCCCTTTTTAGTTTATACAGTGACTTACGCAGAAGTCTGAATCCTAGACGACAATGGCGATATCTTCAATCCCTCCATTTCTCCTTCTCCTCTGCCTCATCCCCGCCAACGCCCTTCCGGCGAAAACCGTCGTATCGGAGTTGACCCGTCTCCGGTCGGAGTCATCCGCCGGCGTGATCCACCTCACAGACCAACTCCTGAAACGCATAATCTCCGTCCCCACTCCCCGTCCTTTCTCTCTTCTCATCTTCTTCGACTACAATCGCATCCACTCCGTCAAACCCGAAATCACCTTGCCTGCTCTCAGAAACGACATCTCCCTCCTCGCCTCTTCCTTCCTCGCAAACAACCCGGATCCAAAAACCAACACCAACCTCTTTTTCTTCGACATCGAATACCAAGAATCCGAGCTCTCTTTCAGGAAATTCGGCGTCGATTCACTGCCCCACATCTGCATTGTCCCCCCTTCGGCTATGGACCTCCGGAAAGACCCCATTGAAATGGACTCTTCGGCGTTTTCCCGGCAGGCGGAGTCCATGGCAGAGTTCGTGGAAGCCAAAACCAAGCTCCAAATCCGCCCAATTCATCATCGCCCAGTCACTGATTCCAGGTAAAGATATATGTCAATTGCACCACCCAATTCGATTTCGATTACTAATATTGACATCCTACAAACTTGTAGGAAAAGAGTGATCTTTGCGGCAGCTGTTATAGTGATATGCAGTCTGATGTTGATGCCAAAGATTTCTTTCAAGAAAAGCATTTTGGTGGACAAGAATCTGTGGATGGGAGGGGCCATAATAGTCTACTTTCTCAGCGTGGGAGGGATCATGCACAACATAATCAGACAGGTGCCCATGTTCCTAGGAGACATGAACGATCCTGATGGATTGGTTTTCTTCTACAAAGGGACTCAAACGCAACTGGGAGCAGAAGGTTACGCTGTCGGGTTCTTGTACACGATTGTGGGATTGTTGTTGGCCTTTTTGACCCATGCACTGGTGCTGCTGAAGAACAGGAGTGATCAGAGGTCGGCCATGGCTGTCGTGCTCTTTGCTTCGGTCTGGGCTGTGAAGAAGGTGGTTTTCTTGGATAATTGGAAGACTGGCTACTCCATTCATTCTTACTTTCCACGTCGTTGATCGCCATTTTAGCAATAATGTTAGCTGCAGAATGTTGGGCATTTGTCTCAGACTCTCAATTGGTGGTGTCATTGGAACTGGGAAGTGGAAATGAAATGTTTGGTTTTGGATTCAAGCACTAATATGATGATGATTGAAGAATTTATATGATCATAGTTCTGAGCTCAGAATGCATGCAGGCTGCAGCATTGTCTCATCAAGAACCTATATATGTTGATGTGGTCATTGTTCAAGAAGAATGATATATCATTGTTTGTGATTATATTATATATAATAATAATTATGAAAAACTTTATCATTCATTGTACATTGTAATTATACTTTATGCCAATAATGTTTACCCCAATACATGTTCGGGACATTTGAATCAAATACTGGAATCAATTTCAATACCTGGACAAATTAAGAGTGGATAACGTGTAAGGTAATCCCCACTTCTATTACATAATCCAAGAACTATGAGTGTGTAGAAGTTGTTCAATTGAGTCTTGGGACTGATTAGCTTATCACTTAAGTTCTTACGAATTCTAGCTCGAACCTTATTAAAAGACAAAAATAGTTACCATCAATATTATCAAGGTAAAAGGTCAAAACTTTGCTAATATATTCGAGTGGGTGAGAGCTCTTGAATTCTTGTTCATTGCCTAACCTATTGAATATCTATCTAATCTCCAAATTATAAACCAAACACCTCCAAATAAGCAAAATGTAAAATAACTAATCAAGATAATGTGAGCTCGGTTATTTTATTTAACCTCATTTGATTCATATTTGGGATTATTATATCAAGGTAATATGATCAGTTTCTCCATATTAGAGACATTATATTATAAAATAACCTTCATAATATGACATAATTTTATTCAGTTTCTCAATCATTTTCAGTGCAAATAATTTAAGTTTTTACCATGTTTGAATTTATAACCATTCATTTAGAATGATAATTGAGTGGTTCACATTAAACACATTCTTAAAAAAAAAAAAACATCTTAATTCAATATAATGTAACATTCCAAGAAACAAACGTGGGTAGTAAAATGTAAAACGAACAAACGAACTCGCTCCTCACCTTTGTTTGGGAGGTATTCGTGGTTGTCCACCTCTACATCCCATTCTCCTTTCTTCTTTCCTATCTCCCCCTTCCTCATAATCTTTCTTCCTCCTCTCCCCAAACCAATCTACCAGAAAATGACCCTATTCATGTCGTACTCTCTTGGAGGCGACCCATTTTCTTTCTCCTCCTAGCTATATTTCTTGCTTTCCCATGCTGTTCTGCATGCATGCTTTTTATCTAGTATTTTCCATTCATATTTGAAGCCAATTTCTGGGTTTCTATCATCTCTGCAATTCCTGCCCCTTTACAAGGTAAATTTCCCAACTTGGTCATGTATGGATAATTCCTAGATTTCAATTGCAAAAAATATGAACGTTTGTCTCTCATTTATGAAGGTTTGGGTAATTAAATGCCCATTTGATTCTGGGCTTTTGATAGGCAGAGCAGATTCTTCAATCTGCAATCTCTTCAACCAAGATGAAGGGGACTTTCAAAGCTGGATTCAAATATATCTCTAGTATTTTTGGTATTGCCCCCAAATCCCTTAATTTTTTCTTGTGTAAATTTATGATTTTTTGGGCTGAAAAAGCTGTTGTTGAAATAGTAGTGAAGGAGGAGCCGGAGATTGAGATTGAGATTGGAGGGCCAACAGATGTTAAGCATGTTGCACATATTGGGTGGGAAAGCCAAGCTGATAGTGCACCTACTTGGGTATCCATTTTCCTTTATTTTTGAAATGTATTTCAAAAGTTTTTGCCTTTTTTTTTTTCTGAGATGCAATCATGTTTCTAGGTAAGACAAATGAGAAAATCTAACCCTTTTTCCCTTTCATTCTGGTGTGTGGATTGCAGATGAATGGATTCAAGGCAGGGCCTGATCGCACTGTGCCATCAACTACTAGTTCTGCTTCCGGACTTTCTCCGTGGTCCTCTCAAGGTTATTTCGCTTCTTAGAGCATATTTTTCAGTATGGGAAATTGGGAATGTTTGATATTTGTGTAACTTACTGCAAATCGTAGATTAATTGCAACATTTTGGAGAAAACATTAGCAGTTTCTGTTGAGTATGTTGCTTTGTTTATATGAATCCATAATGAGACTAGGACGAGAAACATTATCTCCCAGGCTAGGATAGGGATTACCTTGTCTTATACTTTGTTGCGTTTCCAGTTTTACATATGGCAAATGGAAAGGGAAGTTCTTTTTGGTTTCTTGTTTTTATGATTCTTAGATACATTGGTTCATCTGTCGTAACTATATGTTTGGAATTCATCAAGAAATTGGCCCCCGGGAAGGAACAGTCTTCTAGTTGTCTTTGCCTTAAAATGGTATCAGTGGTTTGGCTAGATCCCGACTTTTAGTATCAGTAATGTCTTACGTTATTGGAGAATGTATAAAGTATGTGCTTTAAGAGGAATGTTTAATCGTAAGATTCACTAGTCATATATGAGCTTCTGTCATGATAATATTTCTTGTTTTTCATCGAGTTGCAACTTTTCTCTCTATACTTGTCCATAGTGTTACGTTCTTGGCACATTTCTGCAGAATCTGTGCAATCAGGACCAGAGTTTTGCAATGAAGGGTCACACCCGACAGAGGCTCCTTCTGAAGCTCCCAAGAAACCGAAACGAAAGAAACTCAAGTCGAGTGCTTCCACTGCATCGAGGTCATCAGCCCGCCCAACCAAACCGAGGACAAAGTTAGGCAACAATGATACTACCAAACCGATGAAAGTAGAAGTGGCCACATATTAACAAGCTACAGATCGACTTGGATAGCTCCACACGAATAAACGTATGTTCTAAACATGTTTCACTAACTTTCTCGAAACTCCTTCACACAAAAAATCTTGGAAGAGACGGAGAGCAGAGAGGCGTAGAACTGTATAAATCAAGAGGGGAGCAGGGGGGAGATTGAATATGCGATTAAAGAGGGATACAGATATCAAAAGAAGAACACAGATATGAGGGGATAGGGGTGTTGCTGCTAGCATAATTCCAACTCTCTCAAACAAGGTGACAAATGAAATCTAGTTTTCTCCTAGTATTTTTGTCCTACTGTTCTTGTTGGCACTTTGACAATTAAGGATGGTCCATGTAAAAAGAGTTGGGGTTTTATTTATCTTGCAATACTGCAATATTGTCATTGTATGATAATTACTGGATTTGATCTGAACACCTTCCAGGGTTGCTCATTTTCCTGGATAAAATTTTTCTTGATTTTTTTTCTTCCTTTTTTACACTCCATAATCAGCAGACTGTGGCCTCATAATTAATATAATCATGGTTGAAAAAATCGCTAGGCGCGCCTCGGGCAGCCGGGGTTATTAATAGTTTATAATTTTTTAAATAATTATAAACTATTTAATACTAATAGTTAATACTAAAATATTAAATATTAACTTAAAAAAATTTAGAATTTGACATGGTTGAAAAAATCGCTAGGTGTTTGGGGGCGCCTAGACGGGGATTAATCGGCGTCTAAGCGCCTGTGTATTTTCTATTTTAATTTTTATTTTTAAAAAATTTGTTTAATTTCTTTTAATTTTTTTAAGACTTGATAATTATAAACTATTTAATATTTTAATATTTAATATTTTAATATTAAATATTAACCTAAAAAACATATAAAGTTTGAACAATTTAGGGTTATTTAGCTCAAAACAATGTCGTTTTGAGTGAAATAACCCATTTAAAAAAGAAGAAAACAATAGCTAATAGGTTGGCAACCTAGTCGGTGTCTAGAAAGCCTAGGAGGCCTAAGTGGTCAGCGCCTAGCCGGCCAGTCGCCTAGACCACTGATTATGGTGAAAAGCTAGGCGCCTAGGTAGAATTTTTGCAACACTGGAATTTGAACAATTATTTAAGGTTATTTCGTTCAAAACGATGTCGTTTTAAGTGAAATAATTTATTATTTTTTATTTTAAAAAGAACAATAGCCAATCAACCGACTAGGCGACTTAGTTGGCGCCTAAAATGCCTAAGAGGTCTAACCGGCCGACGCCTAGCAGAATTTTTGCAACATTGGATATGATACCTCTTAATTTTGTTTCACTTATTGATAATTTCCAACATCCATAACCTTTTGTTAACTATAATTCTCTGCTATAATAATGGTGGTAGGGTTTGTAAGCTGATGAAGAATCACGTGATTCCAGAAAATAAATAAAGTCCACCATCTTGTATATTCTTAATTAATTGTAATACCACATGAATAAATTAAATAAGAATATAAAAGGAATTATACAGCAAAGTAGCTTTCAAGAATAGCATTAAAATTTTTCTCACCAATATATACCAATAGGACCCAATCCCAGAGACATGCATGGCTGTCAAAATGTGCAGCTATCAACACCAAAGATGGCAACTTTATTACTCTGAAAATTAAAAGATATGTTCCGTCTCAGCTAAAAGGTTAAGTTGGTAGCTGAACTGCACGTTTATGGTCAAAATGTGTGCATATCTCAAGTGGCACCAGGATTCAAATGCATGACTATATATGTGGTTGAGGTTGGCTCTGATATCAAATTAAATTATGTTTTCCGTCTCAAGTTCGAGTTCGAGGTCGTAAGGATTTCGAGTCAATTTCAATTATTTGGTATAATATTTTTAAAATGATAAAATGTGTAAGCGATAATATATAGTTAATATAAACGAATGAATTAAATTAAAGAGTTTCGAGCTGAAATAATGAATAAATTTCAACATCAAAATGATAAAGATAGTTCTACCTGAAATATGAGAATATAATGTTCATTGCCTCTACGCACCCAGACACTGCTATCCTATTTGGGTTAAAGAATTGGATACCTTTCCCATTGATAAATGATAAAATTGGTTAATTCAAGAATAAAAATTTAGGTGCTGAAAGGGGTCTTCATGATCGAGAAGGTGAAACATGATTCTTGTACTTAATAGTTACATATTCGATTCTTGTTAATATGCTCTCAATACTCAGTAGGTTAGGCTAGGGTCTTCATAAAGCGGTTACCTTTTACATCTCTTGTGTTGTTTACAGAATATTATACATGAGTCAGAAAAAAAAAGATATTGCAGAATTTTCTTATAATAATGTCATCAATTTAATTAATTAAAATATGCATCACTTCAATTCTTCATTCTTTTTCTCGATATTAATCATCCATTTATGAGAGTATATAATTAAGTAGCTGTGGAAAGTTCTTTCTAACAATTTGTATGGCTTGCTTTAATCACTGGTGGAAAAGTATTGATCACACACAACAGTAAGCAAAAAAAAAAAAAAAAAAAAAAAAAATTGTATTGAAGTGATGGTATTGATTTATGCGTTGTGATAATAATTATTTAATAAAATAATATTTATTTAAAAAGTTAAATTGTATGGTATATATTACAAATGACTAGTTATAATTAGGGTTTAATCGTATCATTGTCATTAGTTAGATACAATAATATTACAATTCTATATATAATTGGTTGTATTGACTACTATCTGTTGAGCATATAACTATTAATGTGCAATCCAACTATGAGCATATATTTTAGTTGAGATGGAGCATATGCTTCGATTTGGTATCAAAGTCAGACCAAAGGTACTCATAATTAACACTTTTAATTATAATTGATGGACTAAACCTACTTAATTACCTACTAGGTCGGTAGTAGCACGGCTCAAGACCAGTCGGGTGCACACATATAAATAGTTCACTACTCGACGATCCCGATTGTGAGATTATCTTATACTCATTCCTACTCAATAGTAATACGTGACTCCGACCAATCAATCGGCACCCTACTCTACTAACTAAGACATATTTTTCGTACAATTAACATCTCAGATTAAGATTAGAGTGCAATCCTTTTTAAACAATGCCGAAGTGGACAGGTAGAGACGTGTATTTGTCGTATGCGGGAAGACACGGCATGCCAGATGGAGCTAGCTTAGCAGCACAATGGTCCTCACATACACTCACATCATATCTATCCCCTCTTGCACAGCCTATAGCTTCAATTCAATTCCATCTTCCTCACTGCCTCTCTTTCATCACCAAATACGTAAATGCTTGCTTGCTAGCTTTACTTTGCTCTGGTTTTGTCGTATATACATACATGCATACATACATATATACATACATACATTTTATTAATTATACACTGAAACCACTACTTCTTAATTACCTTCCTGCCATGCAGCTTTAATGTTTCACTCTCATCACTCATTATCAATCTTCATCACGGCCTTACCTAGCCTAGCTATTTAAGCTAGTATATCGATCAATAACTATATATTATTGACATTATATTTGTAAATATATTTCAGTATTTATCTTTCACTTGTTAGAGTTACAATACGGACTTCACGAAGTGTACATTTAAATAATAGTCATGCGTTTTTTCATAAATTAAATAGTTAAAGTAGTATTAAGTTGAAATTATGGATGTATTATTAGTTTGATTTGTGGTACAATATGTTGAGAAATTATATGTGTGGGTCCCACTGCAATAACTGAGAGGCAATGTGAGGTATAATAATGCTGTCTAAAATATCCCTAATTCCCTATTATATTAAGCCATGCAGGCAGGCATTGGTTGCTTTAGGTTTAGGGCAAGCAGGCAACCATAAGTCAACGTCACTCCTATTCTAGGATGGTGATGTATGCCTAATAATAATTTCTTTAAAGTACACTTTTTTTAAAAAAAATATTTATATACTGCAGTAGCTATACACAAGTATATTATACATTTATAGTGAGTCAGTATGAGCTACAGTCACAAGAAAAAAATTTAATCAATTAATATTGATTAAATTTTCTAGTGTTATTAAGTCCAAAAATTCTAAACTTAAACCCTAGGTGCGTGATTTGAGATTTGATTATGATTTAAATTTTAAAGTTGTGTTGAAAATGGAATGGAGATTGCGATCATTTTTAACATTTGGAGTGACTTGAAAATTGAACTTGTATGTATATGTTAATGAACTTAACCTATTATCAGGGACGGAGCCACTATGGGGACACGGGGAGTTATTATATTGGCTAATTTTTACAGGTCACATTTTCTATTATTTCACCCCTTCCTAATTGCTTTGAAGAGTTTACACATGCATGAACGTACCAAGCTCACTCGCCAATCCATGCCCGAGCTTGTGCCCACTTCGACCTCAGGTTGTCCTTAGACTTATTCTCTTCGATCTCACTTCTTGAACTTAGCTTGTTTCTTGAGTAATAAGTCTAATATTTCTCTCGAGATTTTATTGACAATATGCAATGTTTATTCAACAATCAACAAAAATATAAGATCGATCAAATCTATATTTTTTAATGTGTTTTATATATAAAAATCTTATGATCAATATTATAGATATTTTAATTAAAAAATAATAATAACATGAAATGAAATCTTTATCGTCAGAGAAATATCTCTATTGTTTTACGTACAAATATAATCTTACTGCACATGCACCAATTCCAGTACAATACTATGTGCAAAAAAAAAAAAAAAAAAAAAAAAACAAAAACAAAAACAAAAAAAAAAACATTCATCCAAAATTTAAACATTAAAAATTCCTGAATATATTAAAAAAAAACATGTGGAAAATGCAAGAATCACAGAGAGGGGATGAATGAATTAAATGAGGTCTGAGTGCAGAGCAGCTATACAGATCAGAGGAGCAATTAAGTCTTTCTCACACACACACACACACACACACACACACACATATATATATATATATATATATGTGTGTGTGTGTGTGTGTGTGTGTGTGTGTGTGTGTGTGTGTGTGTGTGTGTGTGTGTGTGTGTGTGTGTGTGTGTGTGTGTGTGTGTGTGCAGGTAGCAAATTAAAAGAATTGATGAAGGAAGATAACATGATATGATGCTATTATGCAGCTGTCCGCACAAAACTAAGATCACTGCAAACATATATATGCAAATTAAGGTCTCATGCCAGTTCCAAATTTTGAATCCAACATGCATATATCATCTTCACCATATCCAACCCAAAAACAAACGCATCAAATTACAATGTTCGATCCAGATAGCATTCGTGTTTTGTAAATATATTATTAGTTAGGGTCACATATATATAAATATGATGTGTATAACTTGATCACCACAATTAATAAAACAATTGATTTGCTCC